TGTGTGTGAAAACCAGCAAAATCTCTGACTCAAAATTCTTTTGTGTGCCAAACCTAATTTTTTGAGAACATGTTATGCCTATTTGATATCTCTTAAAGTGTATGTATGTGAAGAACCTTGAGGAAATAATAAAATTTATTCGAGCGACAAAAACACAGTATATGATGATGAAAAATACATTTTTTTAATATATATTTTATTGATTTTTTACAGAGAGGAAGGGAGAGGGATAGAGAGTTAGAAACATCGATCAGCTGCCTCCTGCACACCTCCTACTGGAGATGTGCCCGCAACCAAGGTACATGCCCTTGACCGGAATCGAACCTGGGACCTTTCAGTCCACAGGCCGACGCTCTATCCACTGAGCCAAACTGGTTAGGGCAAAATACATTTATTTTTTAATGTATACATGTACACTGATAGTCCGAGAGAAAACTTTATGACTCTGTTTGATATAATTAGTGGGACCTTCAGAGGTATGTAAAAGCTACTACTTTCATCCGTCAGGCTACTCCTATTACGAGTCTTAACAAAATTCATCACTGAGAACAAAGATTCACAAGAGTATGTGGATGAAAACATGGAGAGTAACGCTGTTGCAAAGTTTTTTAAAGAGAAAATTTTCTGGAATGGCATTCCAAGTCCTGAATAGTTCGTAAACACTTCTCTCTGGTACTCCTGTCTCTAATTGCTTTTTTTTAATGATTTCCAAGTCAACTCTAAGGTCAATAAATTTCTGCTTCCAAATTGAGCTACTCTGAAACACAATCAACTGCATTTCAAAGTCAGCCATGTCTATCCATGAAAACATTTCTAAGTTTAGTTCCTCCAGTTTCATGCTGTCCGGAAATCTCATGAGCTTTGCTGGCTCTTCCAGTTCTCTGAATTACGCAAATCTAGAGAGCTGCTCGATAGTTGACTCGATGATGTTTAACCCTTTGCGGTCCAATTTTAGTTTTGGAATTCAAACAGTCTGGTCCAAATTAATTGACGGGATTCAATGTTGAAGTTAACTGTCTCACTTGACCTCAGCTTGAGGTTGGACCTGCTCCTAGCACCTGGTCTGGCGAGTCAGCCTCCATGTTGGACCGAAAAGGGTTAAAAACAGCTTTTGAAGGCTTTGACAGTCTGTTCTGTCATCTTTTGGGAGGTCTTTGATGTGCCTCTTGAGGTTTGGGAAATAACTAAATCGCTCACCATCCCCATCCCTCTTAAAGACTTCCAGTTTCTTTTCAAAAGCCTTTATGTAACCAAACATAATATCAAGTGTCTTGTCAGTTCCTTGTAATTTAACATTTAAGTCATTCAAATGTTCAAAAAAATTGTAAAGGAAAGATTATAAGAGAGGGTATCGCAAGCCAGCAAAAGTTACTGGCATGCCATATTTGGCACACGTGCCAGGGGTTGCCCACCCCTGAACTAGACCTTGCTCTTTCAGATTACCACTTTTCTGATAGATGGCACATGCACTTTCTGAGCAGCACTTCAAAACGTACAAAGTGGAAAATTGAGTCTCTGAATGGTTTGCCTCAAAACAAGGAAAGTTCTATTGGTATGGTATCCCCAAATTCCCTGAAAGATGGGGAAAATCAGTAGCTCACAATGGACATTACCTTGAGTAAAGCACTTCTGCTATTTCTCTTGAAATTGTCGTGTTTTCTTTGATTACAAAATCCACATTAACTGGTACAATTAGTATGTCCTGTAACGGAACAAATTCATAAAGCCCCTGGTTCAGATGAATCTTAGTCATAAAATATCATCACATACATATCCTTACGAATGCTCCATGGGTATGTCAGAAAGTATAGTAGAAGAATATTGAACATCTTGTTTCTGCAATGACTTTGTCCTTTAGGTGGGCACATGCATAGAGTTAGAAATAAGGTGAGCCCACAAATTCAGGGGTCCTGGAAGAACACAAAACATACTCGGGAGCCAGGCAGCAAGGCAAACATCTTTACTTCTACATAGAAGGTGCACACACATCGTCTGGAAGCAGATGCAAACCAAACAGGTGGTGTGCTCAACTGTATAATCCCTGACGCAGGTGACCTGTCCTTTGCTCTTGATTGGAGCTCAGGCACAGTCTTTCGAGACTGGCTAATTCAAAGGGAGAGGTTGGCCTTTGCTGTTTCAAGATGGCAGCGCCCAGGGGAGCTGCAAGCCACGTGGCCAGCTGGCAGCTGCCAAGTCACGCTTTACAAAATGGCAGCTGTCGAAACTGTTCTTTGAAAAGATGACTTGTTTATACTCACAAATGGAACTGATGTTTACCACCTTGTAAATTCAGCCCTGGACACTGGACAGTAACTGTGCAGCTTTCATTTCAATCTCTGCTTACCTGCTATCCCTGGAATGTATAGTGATGGCTTCAAAAACTCTAGGGACAGATAAAGCCAATGGACATACCTCTGGTCAGGCTGTGAATATTAAAAAAAACAACTTTGCATCCAAAATAACAAAAGGTTTGAACTGCAAAGCATCCATGGTATCTGTGGTTCCTCTAGAAATGACAAACATTAGGCTACATTCAAGAGAGAATAGATTCTCTCATCATTTATGTTTCTATCTCGCTCCCTCTCCCTTTCTCTCTAAAATAATTAAAAAACATATTTAAAAAAGTGAGAATAAAACCAGTATAACATGGGTTAATTACCCCAATAAAGAAGTTAATGGGCTGAAACTGGTTTGGCTCAGTGGATAGAGCGTCAGCCTGGGGCCTGAAAGGTCCCAGGTTCGATTCCGGTCAAGGCATGTACCTGGGTTGTGGGCACATCCCCTGTAGGAGGTGTGCAGGAGGCAGCTGATCGATGTTTCTCTCTCATAGATGTTTCTAACTATCTCTCTCCCTTCCTCTCTGTAAAAAATCAATAAAATATATTTAAAAAAAAGTTAACGAGATAACAATGAGAAATTCTTAAGGTTTCCAATGAAAATCAGGACAAGAAAAATCATTCCAATTACAAAGTACACAGATGCCAATTTGTGGTATTCCAAAACTTCATATTCATATTAAAAACTATAGGTGTCAGCATGAGAACCCCAAACATGGGCTATCTACTTCATGAATATCAAGCAAAATATTCGCCACATTCTGATGTCAGTCACTGCATTGTAAATTCCAAACTACTGAGTGGAAGGTACAGAGACTTGAAAGGCTGATGAGGGACAGGAAGCTTTACATGCTGTAGTTCCACCACTGCCAAAGGAATGGCAGCTTAGAAGACAAAGTGAAAAACCAGAGGAACTGGGAATGAGAAATGAAAGAAATAGAATTAATTTTTCTGAGTTCAGTTAGCAATGCAGCCTGAGAAAGGTGTCCTCTCTCCAGGTTCAGAGTTCATGCTGATTCTGCATCCTGGGTACAACAACGTCACTGGTATTGCAATATACCTCTTAATTATGGAAAATCTATTACACAGACAGCACTGTCCTGAAGGTAGGTCTGGCCACCTAAATGTCACAACCACAAATTGACATGCTCTCAAAAAGTTTTCAGCTCAACACAGTGGCACAGAAAAGGAAGTAACTTTGAAGACATAATTTACAAAACTCGAGAACTATTTTAAAAGATTTATTCAATAGGATTATTCTCTAATAGAAGAAAATAGTGTCCCTTACCATGTACACAATATTCCATGAGAAAGTACACAAGTAAAGTCCATATAGTATACAACAGCTCACAGATCTTTAAGGCAGAAACAATCAACCCCATAATTTCACACATACACCAGGAATAAAACACAGCAGCACCGAGTGATATGGGAACAGAATCACAATATTTCCTTTTCAAAATACTTCAAATGATTTCAATATAAATAACACTCTAAGTAACTGTAATATGGAAACATCAATTCCTTTGATATATTCAAGTATACCAATATTTACTAACTACATTTAAAGTTTAAAATACACTGGGTGTACTAATTTAGAGCAATTCCTGAAAGGCATTTTGGCTACCTATCCAGTGTGAATTCATTGATGCTTTAAAATTCATAATCAATTACATACTTGGGTAACGTTTTTATATATTTAAAATCTGTTAAGGCATAAGTTACTTGGAGTTTTATAAACTGTACATTTTAAACAAAAGTCCTTCCTCCTATATCATGAATGTAGAATTTCTACCCAATTGCAATCCCTGATAAGACTGGGGCTGTACGCCAAAACCGGTTTGGCTCAGTGGATAGAGCGTCAGCCTGCGAACTGAAAGGTCCCAAGTTCGATTCCGGTCAAGGGCATGTACCTTGGTTGCGGGCATATCCCCGGTGGGGGATGTGCAGGAGGCAGCTGGTCGATGTTTCTAACTCTCTATCTCTCTCCCTTCCTCTCTGTGAAAAATCAATAAAATATATTTAAAAAAAAAAAAGACTGGGGCTGTAGGTCCAACTATATGATTTCCCACATTCTTTAGTTTTAAAGTTTCCCCCTAGAATAAATACCAATGTGAGGAATAAGCTACAGATGCTGATGAAAGACTTTAGGACACTGTTTAAATTTGTATTGTTTCTCCCAAGTATGAATTCTCATGTCAGGTAAGGTTTGCACAGTGAGGAAGCTTTGTCACATTCTTTATATCTGCTGGACTTCAATCCAGTAATAATGATATGTTGTATGAGATATAAATGAGGATATACACTTTGAGATATGCCTGATAATTTGTAAGACCTTGTTTTATCATTCTCAATGTAGCTTCAACCATTGAAGCCTAGATCCTTAAATGAAAACTTAAATTACTGCTGTGTTTCTTTAGAATGATTCATAAAATGTTGAGTAGGTTAGACCACAGGTTAAAGGCTTTCTCACATTTTCAATAGTATAAGGCTTTCCACCATTGTAAAATCTCTGATGTTCAGTAAATTTTTAGCAGTGAGTAAAGGCTGCAGCCCAAAGTATACATTTGCAATGACTTTCTTTAGTATAAAGTCTCTCAGGTACAATAAGAGATGAATGCCTTTTAAAGTTTTGGTCTACATTTTTTACATTCATAAGGCTTTGTCCCAGTATCCATTCTGTGATGTTCAGTAAGTTCTCACAGCTGGTCAAGGACTTATAACACTCCACACATCTGTAAGACTTCTATCATGTATGATCTCTGCTGTACAATAAGGCAGGAACCCTGAGAAAATGCTGTTACATTCTCAACATTTATAAAGCTACACTCTTTGGTGAACACTCTGATGAAAATTAAAGGATGAGGACTGCCTAAAGGCTTTGCCACATTCGTTACATTTATAAGGCTTCTCTCCAGTATGAACTCTCTGGTGGTAAGTCAGTTTTGATGAGGTAGTGAAGGATTTGCCACATTGTCTACATGTATAAGGCTTCTCTCCACTGTGAACTCTGATGCTTAGTAAGTTCTGAGGAGCTTCCAAAGGATTTGCCACATTCTTTACATTTATGAGGCTTCTCTCCAGTGTGAACTCTCTGATGAGAAGCAAGGGAAGAAGAGGTGCCAAAGGATTTTCCAGTCTCTGCATATGTAAGTCTTCTCACCAGTATGAATTCTCTGATGACGCTTAAGAGATGAGTAATAGGTAAAAGCTTTGCCACATTCATTACATTTATAAGGCTTCTGTCCAGTATGAATTCTCTGATGCTTAGCAAAGTATGAGATATCACGAACGTCTTTGCCACATTCATTACACTTATAAGGCTTCTCGCCAGTATGAGTTCTCTGATGTGTAGTGAGGTGTGAGAACCGTCTAAAGCAGGGGTGGGCAAATTTTTTGACTCGAGGGCCCCAATGGGTTCTTAAACTGGACCGGAGGGCCGGAACAAAAGCATGGATGGAGTGTTTGTGTGAACTAATATAAATTCAAAGTAAACATCATTACATAAAAGGGTACGGTCTTTTTTTTTTTTTTTTTTGGTTTTATTCATTTCAAAGGGCCGGATTCGGCCCGCAGGCCGTAGTTACCCCCCGGCTGGTCTAAAGGCTTTGACATATTCTGTACACTTATAAGGCTTCTCTCCAGTATGAATACTGTGATGACGATTAAGGGATGAGTAATGGGTAAAGGCTTTGCCACATTCATGACATTTATAAGGCTTTTCTCCAGTATGAATTCTCTGATGGTGACTAAGGGATAAAGCCAAACTGAATCCTTTGTCACATTCTCTACATTTGAAAGACTTATCACCAGTAAGAACTATCTGATGTTGATTAAGGGATCCAGACTCGCTAAAGGCTTTGCCACATTCTCTACATTTATAAGGGTTCTCTCCAGTATGAACTCTCTGATGTCTATTAAGAGCGGAGGAATCGCTTAAAGGCTTTGCCAGATTCTCCACAATTATAAGGCTTTTCTCCAGTATGAACTCTCTGATGAGTAGTAAGGTGTGAGATCCGTCCAAAGGCTATGCCACATTCTCTACATTTCTAAGGCTTCTCTTCACTATGAACTCTCTGATGCGTAGTAAGGTTTGAGATCTGTCTAAAGGCTTTGCCACATTCTCTACATTTATAAGGCTTCTCTCCAGTATGAACTCTCTGATGCCTAGTAAGGTGTGAGCGCTGTCTAAAGGCTTTGCCACATTCTCTACATTTGTAAGGCTTCTCTCCAGTATGAACTCTCTGATGCTTAGTACGGGATGAAGTTTCGCTGAAGGCTTTGCCACATTCTCTACATTTATACGGCTTCTCTCCAGTATGAACTCTCTGATGCTTAGTACAGGATGAAGTTTCGCTGAAGGCTTTGCCACATTCTCTACATTTATACGGCTTCTCTCCTGTGTGAACTCTCTGATGGTTAGTAAGGTTTGATAAATCAGTGAAGGCTTTGCCACATTCTCTACATTTATAACGCTTCTCTCTTGTATGAATTCTCTGATGTCTATTCAGAGCAGAGGGATCGCTAAAGGCTTTGCTACATTCTCCACAATTATAAGGCTTCTCTTCACTATGAACGCTCTGATGTGTAGTAAGCTGTGAGAACAGTCTAAAGGCTTTGCCACATTCTCTACATTTATAAGGCTTCTCTCCTGTATGAATTCTCCGATGTCTATTAAAAGCGGAGGAATAGCTAAAGGCTTTGCCACATTCTCCACATTTATACGGCTTCTCTCCTGTGTGAACTCTCTGATGGTTAGTAAGTGTTGATAAAGCAGTGAAGGCTTTGCCACATTCTCTACATTTATACGGCTTCTCTCCACTATGAACTCTCTGATGAATACTAAGTTTTGAGGGCCAGCTAAAAGTTTTGTCACATTCTGAACATTTATAAAACTTTTCTCCCATGTGATTTCTATGATGTTGAGTATGTCCTGAGGACTGACTAACGGCTTTTCCATTTTCCCTGAGTTTGTAAAATTTTGCAATAGTATGAATTCTTCCCTTATGTACAATAAGAGATGAATGACATCTAACCGCTTTGCCACATGCTTTACATTTGTAAGGCTTCAGTCCAGTATGAATTTTCTGATGTACCATACAACCTGAAGGGCAATTAGATGTTTTACTAGAATCTTTACATCTATAAGGTTTTTTTCCACTATGGATTTTTTCCACTTTATTTGTATTGACTATTTGACTGGAGATTATACCGCAATGATTCCATTTGTAAGCTTCCTTCCTAGTATGAATATTCTCTTCTTCAGTGTAATTTGATGACTGATAAAAAGACAGGACAAATTGACTTCCTTTGTGTGTCTTCTCCACAATAGGAATAACCTCATGTATTTTGTGATTGGACTTTGGGTCACAGACTCTTCCACTTTCATAATGGTCCTCTGCAAGTTCACTTCTCCAATGATTAAGATATGACTCTCGCTTAAAACTTTTCCAATGTTCATTCCATTGATAACTTCTGTCTCCATTATGTGTACTCTGGTAGTAATGAGAGATAGATAGGCTTTTACTGACAGTTTTAATTTCATTAAACATGTACACTGTTCCATAAGAATCATTTCATGATACTCACTAAACCAAGATGGTTGTATAACAAAAGCTCTCCTAATTTATTAAAATAATACACAAAATTAAATACAAAATAATAATTATCAGATGAAGAAGAATGAATCCTTTTTTAAAAGATTGCCAGCCCTAACCAGTTTGGCACAGTGGATAGAGTGTCGGCCTGCGGACTGTCGGGTCCCAGGTTCAATTCCGGTCAAGAGCATGTACCTTGATTGTGGGCACAACCTCAGTAGGGGGTGTGCAATAGGCAGCTGATTGATGTTTCCCTCTCATCGATGTTTCTAACTCTCTATCCCTCTCCCTTTCTCTCTGAAAAAAAAATCAATAAAATAAATTAACAACAACAAAAAAGATTGTCAAATTGGCCAGCAAGCATGGTTCAATGGCTGAGTCTCAAAGTTTGAACCAGAAGGACGGTTCCATGCCCCATCAGGGCACAAGCCCCAGGCTCACAATCAGTCTCCAGTGTGAGGAATGCAGGAGGCAGCCAGTCAATGATTCTCTCTCATCACTGATGTTTGCCTCTCTCTCTTCATCTCCCTGCCTCGCTGAATTAAAAAAAATATAATGAATAAAAATAATAATGAAAGCACTAGCTGAATTGGCTCAGTGGATAGAGCTTTGGCAAGTAGACTGAAGGAACCTGGGTTTGATTCCAGTCAAGGGCATAGGCTCAGGTTACGGACGCCATCCTTCTTGAGGGGCATGTAGGAGGCATGCAATCAATGATACTCATCATTGATGTTACCATCTCTCTCCCTCTCCCTTCCTCTTTGGATTCAATGAAAATATATTTAAAAGTGATAATAATAATAAGAATGATTGCCCAATTGAGCATATTTAAATTTTATAGGTACGTTAGAAATCTCTACATTTAAGAAATGATTTCATGAAAGTTTAATCTCACCCTACATCTTACAAAATTCAAATGATTATTTACACTGCAGACTATGTGAATTCCTACACTGCATCACATTAAAAGGAGTTTTGAATATTCACGTGCAGAAACACACTGATCTGCCAATGGAACTGACTTTAAAATGGAAAGTTTCCCAAATGCATAATATACTTGACCTCTTTAGGTAACAACAATTTTATTATAACTGTTACAGATTAGTTCTGTTTGTATTAATAACTTCTGTTCTTGTCACTTTCTTCCTCAAATACCAAGACTTTCATTAAGTGTAGATCATCAAAGTGACACCTTTCATATCTTACCAATATGATTTCAGAGAATAAATCTTGTATTCCGGTATTTGGCATAAAGGCCTGGTCATCTTCAGATGACATAGCTGAAAGAAAACAAATTTTCAGTTTGACAATTAGGTGAGTGCACTTTGAAGTTACCAGCAAGTATTGACCAAACGACATTTTTGAATATTCCAAGAGCCAGTGAACGATTCAAGGAAAGCTCAAGATAGGTACAATGAGGAAAACAAACATCAAAGAGGGGCAAAGTGTTACTTACATTTGCTGATCATACCTGCTCCAACCCCATAAAACACAATGGCAATATTATAAAAACACTCCCAATTCACAGTTTCTTTGCTGGAGAGAGATGAGGGGAGTGTGTGTTCAATGATCTCCATGTTCTGAAGCATCTTGAATAACAAGTGGCTGTTGTGCATGATACAGAGTGCGAATAGAATGGAGGTACAAGGTGAGTGCCCTATAGTGGCAGCTACAAATGAGAAATTGTTCGAGCACCACAAAGACTGTGATACTGAAGATGTATATCAGGCATGACAGATACAGTGGGTCTGAGAAAGAAACAGACAACATTTCCAACTGGGAAATTAAACAGCCGAACCAAGAACAGAGATCTTGAAAACAGTATTGACTGAAAGTAGAATATGTTCCACAGATGGCTGGTAGTTTTCTCTTATAGAAAGCATGTTCAAAAGCCTGCTACTTTACAATTCAGGAATCTCAACAAAAGATATCAGTCATGAAAAGAAAAGAAAAAAACAGAAAAAGTGTACCATCCAAAAATCAAAATAAATGTAATCAAACTGGTACTACATTAATGGAAATATATTAATTACCTCAAAAAGAATGGAAAAATCACCAAAATAGTATGTAATAAAAAAATATATATATAATGAGAAAATAGTTTATAAATACCACACCAAAAGGGGAAATTGAAATACATAATACCTGAATTAAAAAATATACTAGAATCATGAATGAAAGACGTGATAAACTCAGAACATCAAAGAATTTCCCTGGCAGTGGTGGCTTAGCGTTGAGCTTCAATCTATGAACTAGGAGGTCATGGTCTGGTTCCACATCAGGGCACAGGCCTGAGTTGAAGGCTCGATCCCCCATCATACAGGAAGCAGCCGATCGATGATTCTCTCTCTTCACTGATGTTTCTCTCTCTCTCTCTCTCTCTCTCTCTCCCTCTCCCCCTCTCCTTTCCTCTCTGAAATCAATAAAGATACATTTTAAAAATAGTAATTAAATAATCAAAGAATTTGCGGACAGCAATCAAGGCTTTAAGATAGTGTAAGGAGCCTCTGGGACAGCTTCAAACATACCAACATCAGAATTATAGGGGTGCCAGAAGATGAGAGAGCAAGATATTGAAAACCTATTTGAAGAAATTATGACAGAAACCTTCCCCCAGCTGGTGAAAGAAATAGACTTACAGGTCCAAGAAGCGCAGAGAACCCCAAATAAAAGGAATCCCAAGAGGACCACACCAAGACACATCATAATTAAAATGCCAAGAGCAAAAGACAAAGAGAGAATCTTAAAAGCAGCAAGAGAAAGAAACTCAGTTACCTACAAGGGAGCACCCATACGTCTGTCAGCTGATTTCTCAACAGAAACTTTGCAGGCCAGAAGGGAGTGGAAGAAATATTCAAAGTGATGAATACCAAGAACCTACAACCAAGATGACTTTATCCAGCAAAGCTATCATTCAGAATTGAAGATCAGATAAAGAGCTTCACAGATAAGGAAAAGCTAAAGGAGTTCATCACCACCAAACCAGTATTATATGAAATGCTGAAAGGTATCCTTTAAGAAGAGGAAGAAGAAGAAAAAGGTAAAGATACAAATTATGAACAACAAACATGCATCTATCAACAAGTGAATCTAAGAATCAAGTGAATAAATAATCTGATGTACAGAATGAACTGATGATTATAATAGAATCAGGGACATAGAAAGGGAATGGACTGACTATTCTTGGGGGGGAAAAGGGAGTGGGAGAGGCGGGAAGAGACTGGACAAAAATCGAGCACCTATGGATGAGGACATTGGGAGGGGAGTGAGGGCAGAGGGTGGGGTGGGAACTGGGAGGAGGGGAGTTATGGGAGGAAAAAGAGGAACAAATGTAATAATCTGAACAATAAAGATCTAATTTAAAAAAAGGGGAAAAAAGAATGTCTTTGATAATGCAATAAAATAATTTTATTAAATCTGAAAAATAGTAATTAAATAATCAAAGAATTTGTACATAAATCATTAAAATTTTAATTCACTAACATTTTGACTCAGAGAAGCAAACAAACACGTGGAAATGTGAAGAGAATTTAAGGAACTCCTAAGATACTAAGAAATAGACCACCAAGGGGACCCCATAGAGACAGAATAGTAAAAAGGAGAAGGTAGCGTATATAAAAAATTAATTAAGATCCTGACAATTAGAGAAGGCGACATACAAATGCAAGCAGCTCAGTGAATTCTATGTGGAATGAACATAAACATGAGAACAAATAAAAAACAATGAAAATATTAAGGATCCCAGAATAATATCTAAAAACATAAAAAATAATTCCTCATGGAAAAGACAGCTTCTCTAAGATCATTAGGGGGTTTCTAAGCCAAAAAATATTGTGGGGAAATAGAGCATGATATAAAACTTGGAACTGATAAATGAACATAAACCATCCAACAAGAATATTGAGCCCTAAGCAGTTTGGCTTAGTGGATAGAGCGTCGGCCTGAGGACTGAAGGGTCCCAGTTTCGATTCCGGTCAAGGGCATGTACCTTGGTTGAGGAACATCCCCAGTGGGAGCTGTGCAGGAGGCAGCTGATCGATGTTTCTCTCTCATCGATGTTTCTGGATCTCTATCTCTCTCCCTTCCTCTCCGTAAAAAAACAATAAAAAATATATTTTTTTAAAAAAGAATATTGAGCCGAAACCGGTTTGGCTCAGTGGATAGAGCGTCGGCCTGCGGACTGAAAGGTCCCAGGTTCGATTCCGGTCAAGGGCATGTACTTGGGTTGCGGCTGATCGATGTTTCTAGCTCTGTATCTCTCTCCCTTCTTCTCTGTAAAAAATCAATAAAATATATTAAACAAACAAAAAAAGAATATTGAGAGAACAGATGGTAAACAATGGAGAGGAAAAAACGTTTCCAGCTCCAAAACTTTCTCATTAGACCATCTCATTATTAGACCTGCCCTATAACAAGTCTTTTAGAAA